CCTATCGTCTGTGGCTGCTTTCATACTACAGCAGCAGAGTTTTATTACAACAGAGATCACATGGCCTGCAAAGCCTAAAATATTTACTATCTGGCCCTTTATAGATAAAGATTGCTGACCCTGTAACTAGATTTACTGTCACCTTGGGCAAGTGACTTAATCTCACTAAGCATCACAGAATCATAACTTTATAGACATAGAAAGAATCTTAAAAGTAATTTTGGTTAAACTCTACCCTATATATTCTCTGCATAAATCACCTTTTCAGAATAACTGGTAAATGGTCATTTAGCTCCTGCTCTAAAACATGGGACTAAAAAGAGCCCACTGTCTCATGAAGTAGCTTAAGTTTATTTCAAACAACTATAATTCTGAGACAGATAGAAAATATTCTTTATATTGAGCAAAAAGTTTCATTTCTATGGCTTTCTTGCCTAGTCTTATTTCTGCCTTCTGGGGCTATAGAGAATAAGTGTCATCTTCCTCTACCCAAGAGAACTTCACGAATTTGATTCTGCTATGATATCTCAAAGCGACCTGCACGATTATGTGGAGTGTGAACAGAAGGAGATAGATGTCTCCGATACAGAACCTCGCTAAGCAAGCTCTTTTCTAGATGACAAGAATATCACCTCCCTGGACTCGGATGTCACTATTGCCTGGATACAAGGGAGTCACTGCCCCATCCAGATTTTATGAGCTCCTATATTTGTGCCTGGGAAAGCTTCACCAGAGAGGGTGGGTTTGGACATCATTAGCTTTTCCCTTTCAGATGAGGCAATACCGCTTTCACTTCCTCTTTCAATAATCCCTGGGAGTATGGCTTCCAGCTCACATGAAGTGGATGCCCAAGTCCCAAATCCCCCTCCTATAATTCTGATTCCAGCGCCAAGAGAATTCAGTTGCGATCAGTAGGCTGTGGTGAATGGAAAACTAAGAAGCCAGATGAGCCCACACCTCTATTGCAGAGGTGAAATGGACTCTTAAGTAGGGGAAAACCAAACTCCTCTAGAGGGCACTGTAGCATTCACCGAATCCCCTGCAAGAGAACTGAACTGAGAACACTGGTCTTAGGGAGGCTGAGTCAGCCCTTAGAGAAAGGCTGTCCATTCCCTGGGGGTGAGGTTAGCCAGGGGGACAGAGTTAGGCCAATAAAAAAGAGCTCAAAACAGCTAAATTGTCATTAGAGCCAAAAGCCACGTTTGGATGTATCTCTCGTGTCCTATCCTAAGCCTAAAGCTTTCCTAGTGCTTTATTCACTGTTAATTCATGTATTCAACAATATTTATCGAACACTTACTGTATGCTGGCCTTCGTGCTAGGGACTGATGGAAAAAAAACCTCTTTGTCCAATTTCTCCAATTTGCCTTGAAATCTCTTTGTCTTTTATTTATTAATAATCCTTGTCTAAAATCCCTCAGCAATGTGAGATCTCTTCCTCCCTCATTCTTTATGTTGAATGACATCCTCATCAACCCCTTTGTCAGCAAATTAGAAAACTGGGAATAACTCCATGTACATCTTCCCTTCTCTTTTCTGTCTGACATCCCATCCTACCAATTTTACTTGCTAAACATTTCTTAAATCTATCCTACTCCTTTCTATTTCTCTTTCCCACTGCCTTCATTCTTATCTTTGCCTACCTTTCCAGCTTCATCTATCACCACTCCTCATTCTGAATTTCTATCCAAAAATTCTGAACTGCTTGTAATTTCACACCTTCTCCTGCTTTTTCTTTTTTTCCCCCCCCTATTTTCTCACCTCCCCGATTTTCCTGGCTTCCTCCTACTTGTCTTTTAATTTAGCCCAAGCATCTCCTCCAAGACTCCTATTTAATATTCCTTCCCCCATCCCTTCCCCTGCCACCAGACTAGGTAGTGGCCCCTTTTCTGTGCCCTTGTGGAGTCTCCATACATCTTTACTAATGCTCTTTCCACTTTTTTATTTCACACTAGATTGCAAACCCTTGAGGACAGTGGCAACTCTTTCTTATTCATCTTTATGTCTGTGGTGTTCATTCCAGTTCTGGAACATACTTGGCCCTCAATGACTGTTACTTATGTCAATCAATATTTAAATCAATTTGATAGTATCCATGAGTTGAGGCTCCAGACAGAAGAGGGGTGTGCAAAGAGAAGTGTTGATAAAGTGGTCTATATCCTGGGATATATTCCAGGACCACCTGTAGTAGCTCTCCCTTACATGATGAAGTTTCTGACAAGGACATGTATTATTGAAACACATTCCTTTCATTAATAGTTATCTTTCTGCAATAGTAATAATTAGGATAACCGTTTCTCTACTGTCTGTACAACTGGAAGAAACTCCTGGGAAAAGAAGATACATGAGATTTGTGGTTTAAGAGATAGAGGCCAACTAACTGCTTTCCCATTGTATCCAGTAAATACTGAGTTACATAAGGGCCCAAACAGAACTATAATAGAGTGCTGGCAGAGATTAGCGATGCTTTACTCCTGTTTTGTTTACCATAATGAACTGGTCAATAAACATCACAAATTGTTTATCTGTATAAATCTTGACAGATTACTCTTTATGAAATCCATTTAGCAAGTGAGGTTTTCCCATAAGGATGAAAAATGAAGATTTTAAACAGATTGCGGGAGCAGCTCTGGCTGTACCAGGAGAGTCAGTGTAATAAAGGTTTCTTTATATTAATATTACAAAAACCATTTATCCTGGCAAAATCAATATCACAATTCATCTTAGTTTGGTGTTTCTCTTTCTAAGCTTAAAATGTCTTTTCCTTTATTATATATAATTTTGTTTTAATAAATGTGAAATATTTCATTTAGGAGGTACTCTTGAGGAGGGATAACATAAAATGACATCAAACTTGTAGCTTATTTGCTAAAGAGTCTTGGAAATGTGGAAAATTATATTTGAGTGGCTGAGAAATGTACAGGAATTATTTTACTTAATCCTTAATTACAAAATTATCCCCGGTGTCCTTTGGGCTAAAAAGAAACTACAATATTCCGAAGTATCTCCTCCTGTGAACTTCCTTTAGGGAAAATTCTCTTACTGAAGTCAAGCAATTATAACAAGTCGGATAAGTTGAATATAACAAGGGCTGGGATAAGAGACTATAAAATCAGAAATAGATACATTTAATTACCCAAAACATTGCATACTTTCCAGAGAAGTGATTTATTTATTCCATTTGGATTTGGAACTTAATATCCCACAGATATTGACATAGCTGCCTTGGAGTTATGTGTGTAGCTTTTGGCTGGAAGAAAATAGAACTATATCAAGGAAAGGAATTATGTTATACACTGGAAACTATTACTCTAAATGTACTATATGTAAAATAAGTGTGATTGTCTCATGAGTGAATGGTAATAAAAACTGAAATACTCAAGAGACACTTATTCATGAATGGTGCAGTGATATATATTATATATATATTATGTATATATGCACTAGGAGAAGGTTGACTCTGTTTATGCTCACCAATATTACACTAGAAGCCTACAAACAATATATGCTAAACAGTAGCATATAATGAAATTAAGAGCAAATCAAATATTTTGCCGCTGCTATAATTTTAATTTTAATTTTAATTCATAATTTTCTTTAATACTTAACCTAAACAAAACATCTATTTGAAATGAAATTCTGATGCAATGTGTACAGATAAAGAATCTAATATAGTTGTTTGTAGGGGAAAAATGTCCTTTGATCATGACCATAAAAAGGGCAAACTAAAGTACAGTGGTTTTCAAGCAAAACTGTACTATATTTATTCCCAAGGGTATATTAGTCCATAAAACAAATTTGCAGCTTATTTGGCAGCCTTAGCTTTTATCGGCCTTTTTAAGGGTGTTGAATGATTACCCAAGAGATCACACTGTAAAAATTGCAGAGGGTTAAAGTAACTCTATCCATCCAGCATCTTTATGAGAACATATAGGTGAATCCATTTAATGTTGTTTTAAATGTACCACACAGAGAGTACCTATTTAAATGTGAGTGGTTTCTTACATGTGCTGTTTTGGCTTCTCTAATACTTCATGGTACCAAAATTGTGTATCCTAATCAATGCCATTGGCATAGGGTAAGTGTTTGAATAATTCACTCTGAGGAAACAGGTTTTAGTTTTTATCATGGCAAAATCCCAGTACTGTTATTTTTACAGGAAACTTTGGGTCCAAGAAATTTACATTGCAGTAAAGTTATCTCATTGTATCATTAACATCTTTGCATAAATCAGAACAATGCTCTATTCTCCAACCATTCTGGATAAATGAGTTTAGTCCATAAAATAGAAAATGAAATATAACCCCTATTAAGGTATAGGCAGTATTTGAACCTGTCTTCCTCAAGAAATTTGCTTAGTGAAGTTTAGTCTTCATAAAACTAAATAAAGAATTTCAAGATTTTTAGAGACAGCAATGATTCACCCCTAGTTTTCTTTACTTTTTTTTTTAGTTCAAAAAAGATTTAGAAAATAAATTTTATTTAGAAAATAAAAAAAGCATGGAAAAAAAGAAAGCAAATTATCCATTTACCGTACTCTACAAGAACATTTGCATGAAATTCCATTTTTCTATTTTACAACTGTATAGTTACTTGAAAAGATACTTTTATGTGTACCTAATCATAGCTGGCAGGATAACTGCTTTTGTGAGAAGACAAAATTTACAATAGTCTGAATTGATCACCTGATATTCAGACTAATCCATAAGATATATCTATCATGGCATGTAAAAAAAAGCAATTTAACATGCTTTTTTCCATTAATTAATTTACAAAAAGAAGGCTTTGTACAGGTTTTATCATGAGCAGCATTTTGATAAAGATCTTTTCTGTTTTGTTTTATTTTGCCTTTGATTCTTTGTTTAACTCAAATATCCTTTTCAATATGTTGGCTAGAAGAGATCATCTTACTCCACAATGTTATCGATAGGTGTAACTTATACTATGAATTATTAATCAAAATGCTATTCTCTTTGATGGTTTATTTGTCTTGTTTTCAGATGTCAGCCTTGTAATTGTCATCTCTCAGGAGCCTTGAATGAAACCTGTCACTTGGTCACAGGCCAGTGTTTCTGTAAACAATTTGTCACTGGCTCAAAGTGTGATGCTTGTGTTCCCAGTGCAAGCCATTTGGATGTCAACAATCTATTGGGTTGCAGCAAAAGTAAGTGAACTCTGGCCCAGTGCTGGTGTGGGAAGCAGCATCATGCAGGGAAGAGGGTCTCATTGTTTTCTTTTTCCATTTAGAGCTCATCAGAAGGGTTTAGGTACAACATGGAGAATTTAGGTGAAAAATGGAAAAATAAATTACACTAAATGAAATTCGTGTGCTTTTCCTTGATTAGATAATTGGAAATGATGATATGATTATGCTTATAGTGGGAAATTTACAACAGTTTGCTGGAATGAAATCACCAGTAAGATGATCAAAATCCTGATTTCCCCTAGACTAAGGGTTTTCCCAAGACACAGGACTATCAGTGCTTAAAATCAGGCCAGTACTGGTTAAACCAAAATGGTTGGTCACCTTATCACACAAAGACATTTCAAGATAATTTTCTATAAGAAATGAGAGATTTATTCTTATTTATTAGTTTTATATTCTTCCATCACCAAATTTTATGGGCACTGTTCTACTATTTGTTCATTGATATTATAATACTTATTATTTATCACAGCATATTATTTACTCTAATAATTGATGTTCCTTTCTACTTTAAGTTACGTAAGTTGTTTAAACATCTCTCAAATTTATATTTTTAATTCCTTGAAGCCAAACATTATATTTTAGTATTTTTCAACTTCTCAATGCCATTCTCCAGTGCCTTGAGTTGATTTTTTAAGGTCACCTGCAGATCTACAATTTTATAACATATCTCTCTATATCTATTTCGAGAACATATATCCTTACCTTTTCCAGAATTCCTAAGAAATGCCTGCTGGGAACATGTGGTAAGGATCCCTCTATAACATATTGTACCATGCATATTCTCCTTGGGGTTTCCTGAGACTGTCATGAGTCCCAGTGACAGGAAGTGCCACAAGTCATAACAGATCATCACAAACTGGCATGTCTGGAACTCTGCTATCTATATTTAATGGAGAGAGAGAGATAAGAAATGGAATATTGGGCTGCACAACAACTGTACTAGATTTTTAGGTAATGGAAGACAGGGTGTAGCTAATGATTAAGAAGACATATTCAGATTTTGTTCCTGTGTAGTTTCTCAGTATCCTCCTGTGTTTTGTCAGCCCTCTGGATTTTAGTATAAGTAAAACTATAGGTATTTATCATCTCTTGGGAAAGACCTATCATGATTGCCTTTGTGTGTTAGTACAGTCTAAACACAAATCTGCTTTTTGATAACCATTTAATATTTGTCATTCATTGATTAGCAATATAATTGATTAATTTGTGTGCAGCAAAAATTCCAGCATGTAACTTTTGGATATGAGTTGTAGATCATCATTTATAATAGAATTATGACATCTTTACATACAACATACCTAATGTTAGTGATATCTGATTGGTCCTGCCACTACTTTTGTGTGCAATTATTGACAACTGCTCCACTTTTTGCTACCTATTCTTGCTTGCATCTGAGACGCAGTCTAGGGATTATGCTTCAGGCAAAACTGGATACTCCAGTCACCAGAAACCTAGCCTACATTTCTTAGTAATGGTAGACATTTACTTTCATATTTAATCTTTTCTTCTCTGGGCGAAACACTCCAGGTGTTTCTGATTTGTCATAATTAAAAAAAAACTTTCATATTCCTAATTATTCTTCCCTGGATATATTCTTTTTGATTTTTTATCCCTTTAAAATTGTGATCCTTAGTATTAAACATTCCTTCAACTGCTTGTGGTTGTTGCTGCTTCTGCTTTAGGTTTGTATTTAGCAAAATTTACAAAATGCAGTGTAATGTTAGAAGCTCAGGAGAGGCAGAGGCAATTTAAAAAAAAAATAAAATAAAATAAACAAGATTCCTGCCTTTAAAGGAGGTCAAAACATAGACAGCAAGAGCAGTGAACACTGACAATAGAAGCAAAGCAGGAAAATGCAGATGGTGATATCAGGGTGAAGGGACCCAGCCTTCTTTCCTGTTCTACCTTGATTTTCACATGGTACTTGCTTTTTATCTTAACAATAGCCAGCCGGAACAACTGGCTCCACAAAGATATGATGCGATTGAAAGGAAATGTCATGCTATCTATTGTTGAAACTGTGAACTACTCACCTTGGACTAATATTTCTCTCTGTCCAACAGATGTCAAGAGTGTGTTTTCCTTTAAAATTAAAATGTCTCATGGGCCCCCTCTACATAGTTTGGGAAGTGTGGTATTATAACTATTATTATAGTTTCTACTTCCCTAGAGGCTACTAACAATAGTTTAGCAATATCATCTGTGACTTTTTTGTGGGGGAGGGGGCAGGGAGTCAGGGTGGGAATCCTAGGATGTAATTTTTAAAGTACAGGAGGACTGAATTCAAATAAAGTAGGTAGACCCTCTCTTATAGTATGTCTCTTATTGAGTAATTCACTTCTGTCCTGTCAAAATTAGTTTCATGCTTTCAAAATGATAATCATTCTCTTTGGGGAGACAGAAGCAAAACAGGAATTAAACAGTTCTATTTTCGGTATGCTTTCCTAGTGAATGATATTTCAGTTTTTTCTAACTTCTATGAACTTAAGTATAATTACATATATATAAAATTAGCCACTGTAGTTCACTTGTGTTTGGGTCTTCTTGACACTATTCTCATTGATATTTATTCATCTTTTTATCCACATTTTTTTCTTTATTTCTACTTATTGGAGAGCCTCTTTTAGATCTCCTTTTAATAACAGCTTTATTAAAGTATAATTTACATATCATAAGTTCAATCATCTTAGGGTATAGATTGATGGATTTTAGTAAATTCATAATTGTACAAGCATAACTATAATCCAGTTGTAGAACACTTCTATCATTTCAAAAAAGTTCCCTCTGCCTATTTCCGGGCAATATCTACTCTCACTTTTAGCCCCAAACAGCTATATGGTTGTTAATTCAATAATTCTGCCTTTCCCAGGAATTTTATATAATAAAATCATACAACACAGACTTTTTACACTATTCAGGCTTTTGTAGCTAGCTTCTTAGTAAAATGTTTTTGAGGTTCAACCATGTTGTTGTACGTCTCAGTAGTTTGTTCCTTTTAATTATCGAGTAGTATAATATTTTATGGATATACTATATTTTGTATATCCATTAATCAATTGATATACAGATTGTTTCCAGTATTTATCTATTCTGAATAATGCTTCCACAAACATATGGTTACAAGTCTTTGTATAAACATACATTTTTAAATCTCTTGTGTACATCTGGAAATAAAAGGGCTGGTTTGTATGGTGAGTGTGTTTTTAATTTTTTAAGAAACTGCCAAATTATTTTCCAACATGGTTGTACCATTTTACATTTGCATTAGCAATTTATGCAAGATCCAGTTTCTCTATGGCTTCAGCAACATTTGGCAATATCATCTATTTTATTATAGCCATTTATTGAGTTGTAGTGTTATCTCGTTGTGGTTTTAATTTGCATTTTCCCTAATGACTAACGTTGTTGAGCATCTTTTCATGTGTGTTATTTGTCTTTCATGTGTTTCATGTCTTGTCATGTGTCTTGTCATGTCACACATGACAAGACATGTTTCATGTCTTGTCATGTGTTTTCTTTGGCAAAATATCTTTCATATCTTTTGCCCATGTTTTCATTGAGCTGTCTTCCTGTTGAGTTAAAGAATTCTTTATATATTGGGGATACAACTTTCAAATATTTCCTCCCATTCTGTGAAGTAGTTTTTCATTTTTTAAATGGTATGCTTTAAAAAGCAAAAACATTTCAATTTTTACAAATCTAATTTACCAAGCTTTTCCTTTATGGATCACAATTTTGTGTCCTATTTAAGAAATATTTGTTTCACTCAATGTAAAAATATTTTCTCCTCTGTTTGCATCTTAAAGTTTTACATTTTTAACTTTTACGTTTAGATCTGTGAAACATTTTGAATTAATTTTGTAAATGGTGTAAGGTAAACATTTAAGTTCTTTAT